TGCCGGGGCACTCGGTGGAGCCGACCTGGCGATGGCCGTACAGAGTGTAGCCGGAAACGAGCTGGCCACGGCTGACGGCATCGGCCAGCAGGCTCTTGGCCGCCGCGATCTGGGCCGAGGTGAGTCTGTCGTTGTTGTAGTTGCCCAGGAAGGAGATGCCAATGGACTTGGCGTTCCAGCTGGTGGCATGGGCGCCCATCACGTTCCAGCCACGGCCCTCGTACACGTTGCCATCGCCGCCGATCAGGAAGTTGTAGCCGATGTCCGCCCAACCCAAGCTGTCCATGTGGTAGGCCTGGATGTTGCGCAGCTGCTGCTCGCAGGCAGCGCGGGTGGTGCAGTAGTTGCCGGCGGTGTGGTGGATCACGGCGTAGCTCAGCTTGTTGGCGAGCGTCGATTTGCCATTGGGCGAGCGGCCGCCCCACTGCGACTTGCTGATGATGTTCACGCCGCAGACGGCGTTGGCGCACAGGAGCACGGCCAGAGCGATGAGAGCTTTGCTTGCCATAATTCTCGATTGGATTTACGACTGGTGTGAAGGCCGATCGATGCGGCGCTACTTTTATAGAGCCCAGAGAGGCATGTATTATCTCTTCCGAATGACACTTGATGCGCCAATATATAGGTATATATACATATATGTATATTCATAAGAGTGTTTCGGGGATTTTGATCTGATACGCAGACAATCTAGAGAAGGTTCTGATACTCGTGTGTCTCCCCAGCTGTGCTCGAATGAGTTTTTAATCAATCCGAGTGCCATTTAATTAATTTGTTCAAAATATACTTGACGAGGCTCGAAAATAAAAAAAAATAAAACGATTCTTGTCAGCATTTGAGCAAATCGTCTATCTGTTTTATAGCTCGATTAGATTTAGATGTGTCTGTTCTGTTTTGGAGCTACAAGAGTTTATTGGCTCTTTGAATATATATGTACATATATATGTGTATATACATATATGTATGTTAGTGTATAGGATACTTACAGAACTTTATTATATTTTTGATAGCTGCTTGGCACTCAGCCTTGTCTATTTATCTCTTTGTATTAATATGCCTCTTCAGTCTTAGTGTTTTATAAATATATTGATACATATATATATGTACATATATATATTTTTATATATCACAGGCTAAACAATTTAATCATTTCATGTCTCTATATCAATATTAATTCTGATAGATTTTGTTTGATTAAACGAAATTCAAATCGAAACTCTTTTTTACGACTTCTTTTTGGGTAGATTCTCTGTTAGGGATTTATATACCAAAACAAGCACATAATAAATAATGACAAGAATTAAATTCTATACTTCAAATAGCCAAAAAATATTTAAAAATATTGCTACCTAGGGATCTTTAATCAGCTGCAAAGTTTTCGGTTGAAATAAGCTGTGAAACTGCTCGGGTCTCATTAGTTTTAA